TAAATATACTAAATTCTAGCTTTTGAATTGAACAAGTTTTTATTATTGACCCTATCACCCTATTATTAATTCAATTTTTAGTTTATCATAAAAAATATTCTACAATTAATATGAATCATAAGTTGGACCCTAACTTTAATTTGCATATGCGTGACTAATTCTGTTTGTACTAACTGGAAAATGAGACATTTGATTATTAAACAGTAAGAAATTCACGACACCTCATTCACACCCTTAGGGCATCTTCAATAGTTGGGGATTTTACCCATAATTTTTGTGAGCCCTAACATCCACCTCATCATCCATTATCTCACTTAATCACAAAATCTCTTCTTCCCATTAGTTTGAAGCTTTTTCACAACTTTTTGTGGACCCACCATTCTATCTCCATATTTTAATTATTTCTTTATTATTTGATTTAAAAATTTATAATTTTAGAGGTAAACATAAATGATACGTAAAAATAATACGTAAATTAGCATACGTAAAAATTACAAGCTTTCATTTCCAAACTTATAATTAAAATAAACATAGTAAGCCTAATTAATAAATACGATAGTTATAAAATGAAAATTAAACAACTAATTGCTTAAAATTAAATTACAAAGCGGTTAAAAATAAATTCAAACGCATAAAAATAAAAATACAAAGCGGTTAAATTAATTGTCGTTGTTGTTCCATATATGCTCAACCAAATTCGCACGAAGTTGATGATGCAGATTGAGAGAAATATAGAAATTGAGAGTAGGATGAAGTGTTAAAAATTGGTAAAAGATGTGTTATTTATAGCAAATAAAATGATTAAAAAAAAAACTTATAAGTTGTGTCGTTGCAATTGCAACGGCAAAAATAAATTAATGGCAACGGCCACAAAGAATTAATTTCAGAGTGGCCGCCAGTTGGCGGCCACTCTGAAACGCCTTGGCACGCGCCCGCCAAGCAGAAGGGTGAGACGCACCTGCGCGTCTCACCCTTCATTTGTTATTATTTTTTTTTTCAAAAATTTCTGACAAATTTTTTTTTTTTTTTTTTTTGCAGGAGAAAAATGAAGCTTATTTTTTGCCATCCCATTAGTTCAAAAGCAAAGGTAGGGGATTTTACTGTTTCAAAATGTGGGTATGAACCCCCTAATGGGGATGTCCTTATAAGTTACAAAGAAGTATTTTATAGTTTGGTAAATTGTTGGAATTATTAATTATGTATTTCATTATATTGAATAATTATTAATTATTAATTGGAATAAATGGGAAAATCTCACTTGGAAATTGGTATGCATGACCTAACAAAGTTACAAACGACAACTCAACTTACACAAGAAATGTGTTGGTAATGGTTACTATATATAACCCTAGTCCAAAAATGTGAATGAAGACACGCTACACACGACATATATATAGTACCATGAGATTAGGGTTTATCTCCCTACAAATAAAAGTAATATATAGATATATATCACATGTTCTAAATTTAGAAAATCTCGAATGATGCAATTACATTACATTAGTTGTATAGTAGTGATATAAGTTAATTTTTGTAAAGCTAATAAATATTTTTTTAAAAAAAAACTATAACACTTGTCGAAAATCATTACATCATGGGGATAAATTTATCTTATATATGAAGGTTATAAGTTCAATTTTTGTCACTTTCAAAAAAAAAAAAGTTCAATTTTTGTCAATGCCTTCTTAACTGAATCACATGTTAATTACACTGAATCTTTTTAATGTGATTTATCTTTTCTGCGTGGTCTGAGAGCTATTTTTTGGTTCACAAATAATACACAGTGCATTGCATATAGGAGCGTGCTGTCTGTCTTCTCGGTCGGACCATGCAAGAAAAAGCACCCCCTAACGAATTTCTTGGCCTCATATTCTTCTTCGTCTGCGCTTCACTCTGCTGATGGGGACCGTCATCCACTTTATTACTTTAATTTCACTTCTGCTTTAGTACATATATATAGTTTACCTAGGACAAAGGTAGTACTATTAAATAATGAGTTAATACCCAAAATCGTCCTCGACTATAGTGGTTTTTCTCAATTTCGTCCTAAACGACTTTGGTGACCTAATATCGTCCCAGACTTTTGTGTTTCGCTCAATTTAGTCATTCATTTGTTATTCCGTCAAATTGGTGTTAAATAAAGGGACAATTCAGTAATGTCAGTATTGATCTCTCTTTACTTTCAACTTGTGAAGTGCGAAATTCCTCTTTCTTGTACGAATTACACGCAGAATTACTCCCGGACCTGCAAATCAAATTTTATATTCGCAGTTTTAGGAGTAATTCTGAGAGTAATTCGTAAAAAAAAAAAAAAGGATTTCGCAGTTCACATGTCTATGAGTAAAGAGATGCTAATATTAAAATTACTGAATTGTTTATTTATTTAACACCAAATGGACAGAATAACAAATGAATGACTAAATTGAGCAAAAACACAAAAGTCTGGGACTAAATTGAGCGAAACACAAAAGTCTGGGACGATATTAGGCCACCAAAGTCGTTTAGGACGAAATTGAGAAAACCCACTATAGTCGAGGACAATTTTGGGTATTAACTCATTAAATAATTTTATATACTATACTGGTCTGTGCAGATTGCAAGACGAGACTAATTTGCCTGAATCTCTATAGGTTTAATTTAAAAATAATTATTTAGTATTTAAGTGATGATTCTCATTTTATATCATATTATTTTACCTCGTTCTTAACCTCTTTTTACGCTTGAATCATTATTTTACCTCATTCTTAACCTCTTTGGAAGAAGTTGTGCTGTTTTCATCACTCTAAAATCTTAAGCTTTGGAGGGTGTTCACTACATCAACTTGGATTTTCCAATAGAGAAGTTTTCCTTCATTTATTTTGTCTTGATTTATACTATGTTGCTATTTAATACGAGCTTTATGGATGTGTTCATGCTTTATATATAGTTGTGAGTATGTAGTTAGTTTAGGGGTATGGATTATGGTGGTATTGCCATCCATGTGCTTGAATATGTGAATAATCTTGAATATAGGTGGAAAATCCATTTCTAGGGTTCATTATATTTACTTGTCTTGTAGAGTGAATCACATCAACGAGAATTGGGTGAGGAGTTCAAGCTATCCTCTTCACACAATCCCGTTCTTCACCTTATCATTATTTTTTACAGCGATCATTAAGCAATAAAACTTTTTAACATATTAGAGTACATACATCTCCCAATATATAGTTGAAGATAGAAGCCATAATTGGGTATTATCAGGATCAAACGTTTATTACTATGCCAAAAATTATAATTAGTAGCGAATGCGTAATTTTATTTAATTACACTTGCATAACAGTCAACATTACGTCTCGATTACATGATGTTGGACTTGACTTTAAGCGACTACCCAAGATGGTAAATGAAAAATATTATCAACAAAAAATAAAAAAATAAAAAAAAAATAAAAAGAGAGAGAAAGATGTAGGTACAACAATGGACCCAACGTTGGGAAACATATAGGAATGGAACAACGAATGGACATTGCCTAGTGATATGATGCTACGATTTGCTTCAACCCTTTCACACTTTGGGCAAAACCTCCTTCTTGAATTGGAACCTACATTTATTAGAAAATTAGTGAAATATATGATTATATACATTTTCCATTTTTTTAAAATTATATACTGTACTTTTCTAAATTAAACAATGACAAGAGATACTAATAAATTAAATATTTATTTATTAGATTAAAATATCTTTATTCTCAAGCCTAGCTATAAGGTATGTCCAAACCTAGGTGCATCACTAGACGAATATCTTTATAAAAGTGTAGTAACTAATATTTTTTATACACCATAATTTTTTCAATTTTTTGGACCAGCCAAGTCAGTTATATATGGAGTTGACTTCATAACTATAAGGTTCCAAGTTTAACCTTATGCAAAAGTTATCTATTGATTTTCTTGATTTGGCTGACTTAACTCATAACACACTCCGAGTAATAAGTGCAAACTTGCTCGTAAATCAAATTTTTTCAGTCTTGAGTGGATGTAGCTTTTATTTGTATAGTACGTTGCAAGCAATGTATGTTGATTGTGATTGAATTGGTTAATTAATTTTTTATTTTATTATATGATTATAAGAATTGAAGTGTGATTATACGAGTTTGTGTGGACAGGCCAGCCGGCCGGGAATGAGAAGGAAGCTTCGATGGTGATTGCTGACGTGCACTTCTCACCAGCATTAATGTATGTTTGCGTATTCGATTTCGTACGTACGAAGTGCCACCAATGTAGTACTACGTACGTGTATTTAACAATTAGGGTTTTCAATGTGAAAAGAATGAAATTGTTAGGGTTGTAGATATGTTTTCCTATATGCATGCCACCACCTTTTGTATATATATTTTTTTGAATACATGAGGAAATTAAGCTAGTAAACAAATTATATAAATTGTGACCATGCCACACTGATAATGTTAGTTACCAGAATGGGTCTCCCTTAATTGGTTCAATATCACTCCAAAACACGACGTCCATCTTACATTGCACGTCACCCACATTTGCAAACATCTAGTTTTAGTTACGCAGAAGTTTGACTCTCTATGACGAATATTACGTACACCTCACTCCCCACTCAAAACCAACATGATGCCATTATTAATGGACGCTCTGATCTTCTCCACTATCACTAACAAATTACTGTACGTCCAATTTTACATTTTTATTTTATACAACGACATATTGTTACTGTACGTTATCTCTACAAAATACGTACTACTCCATAACTCTGACTATTCGTAATAATTTTGTCATCATTCCACTATGACTTATTATATAACGTTATGAGCTGCATAAGATAATACAAGATTTGATGAAATGTGGGAAGGTGGGTATATTATCCATAGAACTAATGAAGAAATTACAAAGCCTAAAAGTGAAATTAATGACTAGGTAAAACAAAAAGAGAGTAATAGGAAGGAGCTAACAAGAACAAAAAAATATATAAATAAAGGACCCTCCTTTATCTTTTTCTCAATCCAATTCTCTCTCTCTCTCTCACTATACTTCTCCTTTATCTCTCTCTTGCAACCCTTCTTCCTTGATGTGATTCTCCACCATAAAACTCATCAACCTTTTACAAAAGAGAGAATTTAAGCATATAATCAAAAAAATAAAATTATATTCAGCACCCACCACCATGGTTTTCTCTTCTGTTCCGGTCTATCTAGATCCTCCCAATTGGCCTAACCAGGTACGTCGTCTACGTAATCACGTTTCAAGAATTTCTCCTGCCAAAAAAGTTGGTTATTTTCAAAAGGAAGAGCACAAAAGATGAATATTTGGGGGTTTTTTTTTTTGGATTATTGATAATATTCTTGTTCTATCTTTTGTTTCCATTTGAATATACTTCATGTTAGATATAAATGTATAAGCGGAAACTTTAGAATAATGATTGGAATTTTTGTCAATTTTGATGTGAGCAGCATGGTGATGGGGTTGATGGGAGTGAGGGTTCGCCGCTACTTGGGGCGGCGATGGTGGCGCAGGGGCAGGCGCAGCCGCAGCCGCCTGCGGCGGCTGGCGGCGGGATAAGGCCGGGTTCGATGACGGAGAGGGCGAGGCAGGCGAAGATCCCTTTCCCGGAGGCGGCGCTGAAGTGCCCGCGTTGCGAGTCGACGAACACCAAGTTTTGCTACTTCAACAATTACAGCCTCTCGCAGCCGCGCCATTTCTGCAAGACTTGCCGGAGATACTGGACCAGAGGCGGCGCATTGAGGAACGTGCCCGTCGGCGGCGGGTGCCGGCGGAACAAGAGGAGCAGTAAAGGGAGGAGCCGATCGAAGTCCCCCGGCCGGGCCGACGCGCCGCCCAGCTCGAGCTCCAACGCTCATCGCCGCCCCGGAGATATTATAGCGTCTCCGGGCCACCATTTTCCGCCGCCGCCGCAGATACCATTCCTCCCCCCTCTCCAGAACCTCACCGGCTTCGCGGCGGCGACACCGGACCTGGGCTTAAATTTCAGCGCAAACGAAATGGAATTCCCGGCGGGGAACAACTCCGGCATAAACTTATCCGCTCGGTTCGCGGATTTGTTCAGACTCCAACAAGGAATCACCCAACTCCCTTTCTTATCCGGCCTGGATCACCCCGCCGACGGCATGTACCAATTCGAAACCGGAATTGATCAATACGTCGCCGGAGCCACAGATCATCTCGGAGCAAAACCCTTCGAAACCGGCGGCGGGGCAGCTAATCTGCTAAATGTGAAGCTAGAAGAACACAATAACAACAATGCCTTAAATTTATCAAGAAACTTTCTGGGAATGTCAGGAAATGATCAATTCTGGAGTGGCAATAATGGCTTCGCAGCAGATCTGCCTGGTTATGCTTCTTCTACTGGCCGACTCTTGTGATTTCTCTTCTTCCTCAAAAACCCTACTTATTAAATTTATACAAAAAACAAAGGGTTTTCTGAAACATAATCTGCAGACTGGGAATGAAGGATCAAAGAAGATGTGTTAAAACTCTCTTTTTTTGTTTCCGGTGGTAGGCTGATTCAATTCCGGTACCATTTTTTGGTTCTTTATCTATCCTAATATGGATTATATGTTCATGGATGTAGGTTATGTTAGCTAGCTATGTGTTCATGATGTTCATTAATATTTGATGACATATGAGGGCTTGATTATATTAATATAATTATCAGTACCACTAAAACGTTTTTACATATATTCAGTATGTAAGTCTTGTGTGAGATGTCAGTGTGAGACCGATAATACTTTTTAGTTAAAATGTATGGACTTTAAATATATATCAAATTAAACATAGGTATTCAATAAGCATCGGACATGCTATATATTGTTTGATGATTCTCATGGTCTTTGCATAACTCATCACATGCAAGAGGAGTATGCCACTACTCAAGAAGATATTTGAACATTTGGATGAGACTTCAACATAGTAAAAAAATCTTATAATCTAATTGATACAATAGTACTATGTACTAGGTTATTTGCCAAGTCATTTGTGACTAATTAATAAAGTTTAATTTGTGATTTGGTCACGGTTAGGCCGGGTACTCACTGAAATGATGGTACTTGTCATGTTTTGTTTAGTAATTTAATTAGTGAAGAGAAAAATTGACTGTCACTATCCGAGGGTATGTATTGATTACTGAAACACATATTTACCTATATGTTACATGCAATTTAGGATGTTAATTAGCATGGCAATTATAAGCTAATTATGGGTAGCAATAGAATTGCATAGACTCATAAATGCAAAGCTTCTCTAGTAGTCTTCCCCATGCCCTGCAAGTCTTGAAAAAAATTTCTTGACTCACTCCCATTCAACAAAAAACACCCTTCATGGGAAGCTTCGGACTCCCACTTTCTCAGTCTTTTCTCATTTCCATTTTTGAGGCCAACATTAAGCAATTCCTGCTTTTGGAAGCCCTCTGAATACATCTCTGATTGACCCAACACTGCATGAGAAATGTATAGAGACTCATAAATGAAGCTTCAGTTGAGTCCATACTTGAACTTAAATCTCATTTCAACTGACCATACGATTAGCGCGTAGCCACTACTCGAAGATACACTCAGGGTAAAAATCCTAAACGGCAAAGAATTACAAAGAGCTAAACCAATATATATAAGTTACCCATAGCTGACACCGAATAGACAATTTTCATGAAAAGTCGAATTTGAAACCTTGTGGCTACCTAGCTAACTGTCCAATCAAATCCCGCTACGATTTGTCTTGTGTGTTTTCTTCTTGACTCCTCAGAATCAGTAGTACTGATTTCAGTTCAGAAAACTCAGAAATCACTTATATATCACACTTTTGGGAGTTTTCGCCGGAGATTTTGTTAGGTTTTTACCCTCCCAAGAAAACCGTCCCGCCGGGCGGGGATAGATTTGAAAGCAATGGTTTTAAGCTAACAGTACAGCTTTTGCTTTAATCTGTACAGTTTAACGACTAATTGCAGACTGCTGCAATAACACCAACGAGGAATGAATTAATTACTTCCATAAAGATTTGATGGGTTGAGTACTTTGAGATTATTGACAAAAAGGAAAAAGCAAAAAACGCCAAATTTTCACTCAAAACCATGCACGCCAATGCAAAAGCAGCTACCAATTTTAAAAACATCTTAGGAGGGAAAACCTTGGAGCTTGCTTGCATTCATAGTCAAACCACAGTTTGGTCTTTCTTGTTCTTTAGTCCACAGTGTGCCCAAAGTAACACTGTTTAAAGCTTACCCTTTTTCTTGTTTTCCTCCAAGCCTACTTTAGTTAATTAGTTTCCATTGATAATATGAAGGATTGACTAGATGGGGTTAGCCAATTTGGTTAAGTGGTTCACTTTATTACAAATTTGATCTTGATGAGAGTAATTTCTTGGCCTTCTTAGTTTGAACTAACTATGAACAAATTATGTTGTTTTACCTTCTTGTAGTCTTTTGTCCACTAGGGAACTGCCTTATATTTCATTGGGGGAGACTTGTGTTTGGCGGCGGCTCGGAGGGCCAAGTCTAATATTTTATTACCCGCATGGGCAGCTCAATTGGTCACATGGGTAAAATTTGAGAACAATGACCTGAGATCGAGTCTCACCGGTGATAGTGTGGGAGTAACCTCACAAAGTGAGGGGACTCCTTGTGCACAGTAAGCAAAGGTCTAGCCTCTGTGTTCAGCTGAGTTACCACGATTTATATCCTCCTAGATGCTCTCTCGGGCCGGAGTGTGTGGGGGTCTTGAGGTTGGGGATTCAACCTTTTGGAACAAGTCTAACATTTTACCATCAAAACATGACACTGACTGCTACGCAAGTATAAGAGAATAAAGTTACCACCTTTCGCTACTACTTATAGCTTTTGGCTTAGCGACCTATTGACCTTCTTGATTTAGGTCAATTAGTCATGAACAAATTAGATTGTTTTAAGTTCTTGTGATCCTTTGACGACTTGAAAACTGCCTTATATTCCATTGGGTGGAGGCTATCAAAATGCTAACCGCTATGCTTGAACTGACCGTCAATATCAAAGAAGTATAATTAGTTATAATTTTTGATGTGGTAAATGCTTGATAGTTGGTAACAACCAAAGTTGCCATTAGAGGTGTGGCCGAGGTTGTTTGATGTTGCAACCACCTAACTTAAGGTCAGTGGTTTAACTATATATCATTCATATATATATAACAATCCTTCACGAACTGAAAGCCTTTCGTTTCTTGATTGCACAATCAATCACTCATAGTTCCAAGTTAAAAAAAAAAAACAAAAAAAGGGATTAATTATATATACATATATGCAAGTATGGGACACTATAATGTAATGATGGTCCACATGTTTGAGGGTAAGGAATCTGGTTGGAATTTGCTTTTTCAGTAATATAATAAAGGTTGGTTTACTGTGAATAAAGCTACCAATCCATGAAATCATCTGTTCAAAAAGCATCTCCATCCACCTTATTGTCATATAAACATTAAACAATTTTCAGCAACAAAAAAAAAAAAAAAAAAGAAGAAAATCATATCCAGCAGATCAGAGATGATGAGATAATATATAGGTAGCATATATATATAATTGAAGGTGGCTGTATATATGTTCTGGGCTGGCCGGTGGATGTTGACGGAATGTACTGGTAACAGATCCACCAAAAACGTTGTTGGAATGGAGAGATATCTAAATCTAAATAATAATAATAATGAAAGAAAAGAAAAAAGTGGGTGCAAAATAAAAAGGGAGAAAGAGAAATGCAGAAGAGAGAAGATGATGAGATCATATATATAGATATGTATGTATATGCATATATATATATACACACACAAGTACGTAGTGGTGAGTGGTGATGGAATGGATTTGATATGTGAAATGGGTGGTGTTGTTGATGCCCACAGCCACATGCAACAGCGTGAAAGGTTCTCCTCATGTGTTTCCATGGCAGCTTTCACTTTTTTTTCTCTGTGACGTCCTTTTTCCTTCTCTAATCTCCAACCTCATGTATATATATATATATATATATATATATATATATATATATATATATATATATATATATATATATGCCCCTTAATCTCCCATTACTAGCTTTGCTTAGCTGGTAACCACAAGACAAACATAGGGTTCAAAAATCGTTAAGGAACATTCGGTGCTTCACTAGATTTTATAGCATGAGTTGTTAACCGCAAGATACAGGATCTGACGATTGTTAAAGAACGTAACATCCAATGCTTCACAAGATCGACTTTAGAGCATGAGCTATTAACCGCAAGATATAGGGTTTGACAATCGTTAAAGAACATTCGGTGCTTCAATTCACTAGACTTTAGGACGGACAGGAGTTGTTAATTGCAAGATATATACATGGTTTGACAATCGTTGAAGAACATTCCGTGCTTCACCCAACTTTAGGACATGAGTTATTAACAGCAAGATACAGATCAAGCGGGGTTTGACTATTTTCGATGTTAGCTTCACCAGACTTTAGGGCAACATGAGCGGTTAACCGCAAGATATACATGATTTGACAACCTTTAAAGAATATTTAATTTGGTGCTTCAATTCATCAGACTTTAGGATGGATATGAACTGTTAATGATATTGGATTTGACAATTGTTCACCAGACTTTAGGGCAGGAGTGTGAAGACCGATGGAGTTGCAATGGTTTCTTAATATTATATATTAATTTTGACAGCAATCATATTAATGTGTGTTTTAATAATCACGTGATTAAAAGGAATCATTGTATGTGAATCTAAGCGATACAACATAGACATATATGCATAAATTTCCGACAATAAATTGGTTCCAACCCCACCCTGACGAGCACAACTTTTGCTTTTTCTTTCTAGCTGCAGCCTGCTACTATTTCCTAGCTGATTCTTTCTTATTTAGGGCATCCTCATCAATATATTTTAGTATAATTTTTAAAAAAACAAAACTTATGTGAAGAAGAAATGGTGAAGAGAGAGAAAAAATCACCATACAAAGCATTAGTTTTCATCAAAAATGTAAGACTTACCAAGGAAAATATCATTTCACGCCCTGGTAGCGTGAAATGCAACACAATGCCCAGCCCGCTACATTAATGCCGCTTTTTCCCTTTTTTGGTTTTCTGAAAGTATGTATAATAATACTCATTAATATATTAATGCAAAAGCTAGCAAAAGCAGAGAAATATATATATATATATATATATATATATATATATATATATATATATATATATATATATATATGTAGAAGAGAATGGTATATGGCCCTGTGGTTGTCTCCCCTATGATGGTTGTGGCTGCGACAGCAATCCCATCGAAATGAAAGCAAATCGCCAAGTTGCATGTTTTAACCCACCATAACATACCCTAAATACCCCTCTAAAACAAATGAAAGAAAATCAATTTTAGATCAACTCAACATCATTATTCTAGTCTTCCAAACCACCCACCATTATTCTTCTAAACTATAGGAGATACCTTTAAGTCCGTACCATATTCACACTAATCCTCATTCACACCGAACCGGCACTGGTCAAATTGAATTTTCTATACGAGAGGGGATTTGTTCAAACTACTGACTTCTCTTAAGGGATGAGAGTGCACGGCCACTCACACCAACTAAGCTGGTTATTGTTACCTTTTATTATAATGATTAATTGTTTATTTCTTCCTCAATGCGAGTTCCACCCAACAATTCCTCTTCCCTCCTAGCACTTGTGAGACT